TTCCACAGGGGTTGCACCATTTTACACTCCAATGGTGGTTCAATCTGAACTGAAACAGACTCCATGGGTATGACTTTGGGGTTTTGGCTTTTATTATATAAACAGTATTAAAGTGAGCTTAGGAAGTGGGTAAAGGAAAAGAAAAAGAGGAGATGTATGTGAGGAAAACCCTTTAAAAAATCTTGATTGGTTTGCTGTAACAACAATAGATTTCTTGCATTAGTTTTCCTTTTATTTGTGTTATAAGAGATTGATATTATTAATAATATCAGCTTGCTTGGTTCTGCAATCAACACTCTTGGCATCAGCAGTCAGGAAATAAAAAGATTAATTGTATTAGGAAAGTCAGAGACCTCCCCAGAGTACTAAAGAATAATGATGTCAGTCTGGAGACTAAGGTGCATCTGATCCAGGCCATAGTTTTCTCAATTACTTGTTATATATATCAGATAGCTGGATAATGACCAAAAATGACAGAAGAATAATTCATGCTTCTAAGTTGTGTTGCTAGAGAAGAGTATTGGACATACCATAGACTGCCAAGACAATTATCAGGTCTGTAATAGAGAGAGTGAAACCAGGCTGCTTCTTGGAGACAAGGATTTTGAAGCTCAATCTCACACACTTTAGGCGTGTTTCCAGGAGAGACCAGTCCTTGGAGAAGAACATCATGCTTGGAAGGGTATAGGGACAGTACAGGAGAGGAAGACCCTGGATTAGATGGGTTGATAAATGCGGAAATGGGAATAGGTGTGTCAGAGACAGTGAGATTGGGGTTCAGAGCTATTGTGCACAGGGCTGCTAGGATTCATAAGTGACTCGATGGCACATAACAACAACAACATGTTATAATGAGATTGGTCAGATTTAAAAACAGAGAAGATAGACTATACAAGTTAAGGATGTAGGGTATGTCAGCATTTTATTTTATTTTGCAGGAGAGAAGAGGGACTGGGGCTGAAGGAATGTTTCTTTTCTAGGTTATTCAGGGGAACCATGTTCTGTGATTCTGATTCAAGCCTTTCTTGAAAATACTTTTGTTATCAAATTGCCTTTCTCTTCAATCCCTCATATAGGAAGATTTCTCTAGAGTTAGATATATGCAAATTGCATTTTGGTTCTTAAGCCAAGGTTAAATAACAGGGAAAATTATGAAAGATTGCTCATGGTGGCAAGGACTTTCAGTGCTTGAAGATATATTTGGTTATTTAAAAAGCATGATGACTTTTTCTGTGAGTGTAAAGGAGAAGAATAAGTTAATGGAGAAGGTGGACCTGGCCATAAACATGTTCCCACACAGCCGCCTTCCTGCTAAAAGTGCTTTGTTGTTCCCTGAACCTTGGTAATTACAGGCATTTTCTTCTGTTCTGAAAAGCATTTGGCCAATAACAAGAGGGGGTTCCCCACCCCTCTCCTGTGTTCAATACTTGGGTTCTGGCCTTGTTGCAAGGAAACACTAATTCCCAATAGTGCTCCTTGGGAGCAAATGGTTTGTTTTCTCTTCACTGAATCCAGCCTGGGGTCCGTTCTCAGCAGCAGAGCCTGGCATGGAAAATCTATTTGGAGTAACTTGTCCCCAGGAGGGAAGAAGGCAAGTCGGCTGTGCAGAGAAGCTGCAGCCACCATCAGCCTTGCCAGCCACACCCAATGACCAAGACAGGTTTTTAACATGCAAAGACACTAAGACAAACGCAAGTCCTGCTGTGTGTCCATATACACATGTTCAACACACACCCAGTTATACCTGTATACATTATATGAACAGTAGACATACATACCACACTGCCACACACATACATCTCATACACACACTCCACAACAATCGCATTCACCTCCACGTACACAAACGTGCAAATATACATAACTACACACATACAAGTCATATATGCTAGTCAACTAAATACACGTATACATGTTAGTCATATCTACCCGGGCCTCACACACGTGTACACACCCCAACACACGTGTACCCTGCACACGTTTAACATCACATCACATCACATCACATCACGTCACATCACACAACACATTATACTCAATATAACCATGTTGTTATATACCCTAGAGTCGGTTATGACTCATAGTGACCCTTTGAACAATGGTTCTGAGTCTTGTCCACGCCTGAGTCAACCTGTCTCTGACACATGCACACTGACAAACCTTACTGCAATCACATATGCACACCCAAACTTCACAGCTACACATACATACCAACACACCACATAACCTGTTCCTAGCACCCACACATGCATATCTCTCTCACACGTGCACACATACACACACACACACACACACACACACACACACACACACACACGCCCCGCAGCGTGGTTGCTTTCCCACTCAGCAAGGAGGTGGTACAGCCCTTAGGAGGGTGGAGTGTGCCCGCTCAGGAAGGGGCACAGAGGGGTGGTAGATGCCACTGGGGGAGCCCAGGTTGATGTTTGAGGTGAAGTTGTCCAAGGTTTCCCCTAATGTGCGCTCCAGTGGTCGCGCTTAGAGCCTGAGACAAGCCCAGGGTGCCCAGGAAGGGAGGATGAGGTCTGAGGCAGCTTGCTGGGGTGGGGTAGGGGGTAGCAAGTGCGCGCGTGTGTGGTCGTGTGCGCGCCTCCGATGGATCTGGGTGTCAAGGCACTGGGAGGTGTGAGCGAGGGGAATGTGAGGTGCGGGAGAGGGTGGGATAAGAAAGAAACCCTCGTTCAGAGATGCCAACGGCCCAGCCCCCCGAGACACTCGGACGGGCGAGTACTCCGTGTGCACAGCCCTCCGTGGAGTGTGGGGACGCATGTGTGAGTCCACGAGACGACCTAGCTCAGAGGAAGTGTGCGTGTAAACTGGGGTGTGTGTGTGTGAGAATAGCAAGCGGCCAAGATATGTCATAGTCGTAAGCGCCCTCACAGGGTCTGTCTGAGGAATGTGTGAGGAGTGTGTGGGAGAGGCTGGCAGAGACGGGAGGGGACGCCGACGACTGCGCTCCCCCGCGGGCCGTGTGTGAAGCAGCAGCTCGGCCAGCGGACGCGTGGCGCCGGCCGGGGTGCCTGGAGCGCGCGTGCGCGTGCGCGTGCGCGAGGGGGCGCGGCGCGGCGGCGGCCAGGGAGGAGGGGAGGCGGCGGCAGGCCCATCCCCGGCCGCAGCTCCCGGGGCGGCTCCTTCTGCGAACCTAGCACCGTCGCGCTCCCGCCGCCGCCGCCGCGCGCTGGCGTGACTCTCGGCCCGCGCCGCGCCCTCCCGCGTCCGCAGCCCGCGCTCACCTTCCTGCCCGCCTAGACGCCGCTTCTCTCGGGCTGCGGGTCTCGGCTCCGTGCGGAGGGAGAGATGAGTGCGGCGACGGCGCCGGCGCCCGAGCGGGGTTGGAAGAGCGAGAAAGTGGACGAGGCTCAGGCCCTGGCGCGGAGTTGTGCTGCCCGCAGACCCGACTTCCAGCCGTGCGACGGGCTCTCCATCTGTGCCACGCACAGCCATGGCAAGTGCTTCAAGCTGCACTGGTGCTGTCACCTAGGCTGGTGTCACTGTAAGTCGAGTTGCATGTCCCCGCCTCGCGCCGCGGGGCCGTCCGGGGTCGCGGCTGGGACTCGGGGCCGGGGACTCCGGGCCGGTGGGTGGCTCTGTCACAGGCTCGGCTCCCTGCTCCGCGCGGACTCCTCGGGCAGTGCTGCCTTGGCAACAGCATGACATCCCGAGGGGAGTCTAGCTTTAGCCACTTCGACAGAAGGGAATCTCCCCGTCCCGAGAAACTGTAAAAAAATTTTTTTTAAAAAAATCCTCCCCATTTTTTTACGGAAATGACCATGATACAGCGAGATGAGAAATGTTAGCAAGCCATCTGAGTTGAGGACAAACGCAGGGGAAGCCTTCAGCTGGTGGTTCAAGATGCTCTTTTTCGTTCTGACTTTTTTTTTTGTCTCCCTGGGCTGCTGTTTCAAAGAGCGAGTCTTTGGAAATCGAATCATGGCCAGTATATTGTATCCAAATTAAGAACGCGTTGAAGTGAGATGAATTCCTTCCAAAAAGTTAATATTAACCGTTTGAGAAGGCGAACTCCTAAAATACCCATTTGTAGGGCATCAAGTCAGTCAGTAAACGAGACTGTTTTAGGAAGCAAAAGGAAAGAAATGAAAAGCAAGCTTAAACAATCTGAGACAGATTTGTGAAAGCCACAACTAAATGCCTAGGCCTTTTCTCTGGGTTCTTGCTGCCTGTGGTTTTTAAATGGATTACATGTAACTAGCCATTTAATCAGAATTCCACAATTTTATTAGTTCATGACATTTGGCCTGACATACCTGGTGAATAATTTCTTTCGGACAGACGTTGTAAACTTAGTTTCCACAAGACATTTTAATAGCATGGTTTTTTTGACTACTTACTTAGGACATAAATCCTTGAAGTAATCTTAAATGAAAGAAAATTTCCCTTGTTGGTCTAGGGAAAAAAAATGGCTCCCAGCCAAGGATGCAGTATATAGGAATCTTTATTTATAGTAATTGAGCATAATTGAATTTATGAATGAAAAAGTAGAGAATGCTTACTTTTTTTTTTTTAATTTAAAGCACACAGAGCAGTATAGATGTGTATGAGTGTGTGTGTTCTGTCTGCTGATGGGGGGGGGGCGATCAGTATCTTCCTATTTCTCTTTATTCCTATTGCTCTGAAATCAGTTCCCAGTTATGAAGCAGGGAAGAGAGTTGGAAGCAGTGCCTGCAGTACAGTAACATTGTAGGAAACCTGCAATCAGTGTTACTCTGCACAGTTGAGAGTCTTTTCCCAGGGAAGTCTAGAATCCTGGCATAACATGGGAGGGATGCTATTGACAATTCTGGTTCAGCCATGTACCCTCTTAAGTATTGTGTGATTGATGGTACCTTCATAGCATCAGGCAACTGTCCCCAATGTTATTGCTCTGATGCTCAAAATACTCTTCCTGATGTGGAACTGAAATGACTAACTTCTTTTGCTAGTCCGATTCCCATCTTATAAAATCATTCAGAACAGTTGAGTCCATTTTTACATTATGGTTTTTCAAGTCTTCAAATATAGATGAGAATTTATTGTAAATATTATTTATCCACAGGCACTGTTATTATGGCCTCAAAAGAAATTAATGTTGCTTGAATGACTGTGTGAAGATGGCCATTATGTTCCTTCCAAGGCCTCATTTTTTTCCTCTTTCCATATATGTATCTTTATTCCCTTCTGCTTTTCTTTTTATGGAATAGTATCAAGACTCCTAAGCACACTGGTGGTTCTGTTTTGAGCAAGTGCCAGTTTTGTAATGATCTTTTCAAGGTTGCAAAGATACACAGTTGTGGTATGATCAGTCCAGAGCTAAGCAGAACCTCTTTTACCATGTTTGAGATACTACTGTTTCTGCAGCTAGCATTGCAGTAGTTTTCCCTAGACTCAAATCCCATAGTCCTAAGAATTTCCCTGTCAGATTGTATAATCTTGTAGTCAACAAAAGCCATTAAACTTTTTTTTAAGCATGTGTTGGCAACTGAGCCATAATGTTCCTATCTCATGGGCCTGTAGATCTAAATATGGAGCCCTAATGATCTCAGGGCTAAGTGCTTGGCTGCTATCCAAAAGGTTTGTGGTTCAAACCCATCCAGTGGCTACGTGGGCTAAAGATATAGTAATCTGCTCCCATAAATATTGCAGCCAAGAAAGGCGTGTGGAGCATTTCCACTCTGTAGCGTGGGGTTGCTCTCAGTCAAAATTGGCTCAGTGATACTTGACAGCATCCATCTACCTCTCTGTTTGGTGTATAGATACTGAACCCTTGGATTTTCTTTTCCTTTATTTTATTAGACTTTGCCAATTTTTCTGACAACACTGTCTTTGTAAATCCTCACTCTTTCTTAATATGTATGTGTTATTTAACTGCCGTAGTTCATATCAACCATGTATTGGATGTCAGAGCAGTACAGTAACTTTGTACATCATCATGCCATTGATAAACATGGTTGAACAGAAGGCTAGAGAGTCCAGAAGTTTGTTGGCTGTACTGCCCTTTAGATGATAGCAACGTGTCAAGTGGGCACTTGATTGTTCAGACAATCACTTAGCCACCTAATTGCACTATTCGCCATGTTATATTTATCTTGACCATATATATGGGCATCATGAAATCGTGGCCAAATAGCTTGCTGAAATTCTGACACTGATTCTCTGCTTTTGGGTCTGTGGTCAATATACTCTTTTATAAAAAAAAGAGAAAGGTATCTGGATTTAGGAAAAGATTGATGTCAAGTACACTGAAATGTTTTTGGCAGTTTATTCTGCTTAAAAAAAAATCAGACTTATGTTTGTGGTTTTTTTTTTCATCTTTGGCAGCCCTCCTAGTCTCAGTGCTTCCTCCACTGGCAGCCGTTCAGCCGTCCCATTCATGAGGAGTTTGAATTCATTTGGAGCAGCAAGGTGCTCTCTCAGCGTCCTTGCCACAGTGGGACATCAGATTATTTCTACATTTCTTAGCCCAGAAAGGGACAGTAAACTTGAGACATTCTACTTTTTATTTTTCACTCATGAAGATTACACCCCCAGTCCTAAGTAGAGTTCTTTTTCTTTCATTTGGTTAAGTGGGTATCCAGCAACTTCTTCCTATGAGTCATTGTTACAGAAACTGGGAATACAAGTATGAATACAGCTGGACTGTGCCTTTTAAGTGCAGTCATCAGCTATGATCTGGGCCATATTTATTTTTGTGCCTCTTTAAAATAACAAGTGATATGGGTGAGAAAACTGTCAGCTTGGTCACCAAATCTGAAAATGCTAAAATAAGGACTTTGTACCTTGGTACTTGAGAGAGGTAAATTCAGAACATATAAGGAAGGTCAGCTTTATATAGTTGATTATGGGCTCATGATAATTATAATCTTGTGAAGTAGAAAAGGCTGAAAAAATATACATGTTCATAAAAGACATAGAAAACAGGAGTACATTGTAGATACATTACTAAAGGGAATTGTTGTTGTTGTTGTTGTTATGTGCTGTAGAGTCGCTTGTGACTCATAGCGACCCTATGTACATACAACATCCCTAAACTCTGCTCTGTCCTGTGCCAATTGCACTGTCTCCGATACACCCATCCTGATTACCCCAGTCACTGAATCAATCCACCTCATGGGGGGCCTTCCCCTTCTGCGCTGTCCCTCAACCCTCTGAAAGCATGATGTCCCTCTCCAAGAACCTGTCCCTCCTTGCCACATGTCAAAAGTATGTTAGACGGAGCCTTAGAATCCTTGCCTCCAAGGAGCAGCCGGGTTTGACCCTTTCCAGGATGAATCTGTTCATCAAAGGGAATTAGTATATATGAATAATGGCAGATTTAAAAATTTTTCCAGTTCAGCAATTTCTTTTTTCCAGTTTAGCAATTTACATGTATAATTCAGTGACTTTGATGGTGTTCTTTATGTAACTCAACTGTTTTCACTATCTTTTCCTAACTTATTCTACTATCATTAACATAAATTCATTGCTCCCTAAACAAAAAACTTTCCGCTTCTTCCCTCTCCCATTCCTAGTAACTGCTAAAAATCTTTGCGTTTTCTGTATTTGCTTATCTCTTCCACGTGAGATCACAGTATGTATCCTTATGTGACTGAATTGTTTTACTTTGTAGTATTTTCAAGTTTCACCCATGTTGTCACTAACATCAGAACTTCATTTCTCTTTGTAGCTGAGGAATCCATATGTATATATGCTCTTGTTGGTAAGTGCTGTTGAATTGACTGCCACTCGTTCATAGTGACACTATGAATAGGGGATTGAAACTCTGCCCTCTCCTGTGCCATCCTTGTATTCTCTTATGTGCTCAAGCCGTCCATTGCAGTCACTGTGGGACTCCATCTCTTTGAAGATCTTCTCCTCCTTCACTGACCCTCCACCTTTCCAAGCAGGATAATCTCTTCCAAGAACTGGCTCCTTCTAACAGCATGCCCAAAGTTTTTGAGATGAAATTTCATTATCCTTGCCTCCAAAAGTCACCCTGGCTACACCTTTTCTAAGACTCGTTTGTTTGTCCTTTTGGCAGTCCATGAGATACTTAGCACTCTTCTCCAACACCACAACTCAAAGGCATTGATTTTTCTTCTGTCATTCTTACTTCTTGGCCAGATTTCAGCTGCATAGCAAGTAATTGAAAAGATCATGGTTTGGTTCAGGTGCACTTTATATCACATTTTTCTCTAATCATTTCTTTAGTTTTGTTGTGGTGTTTCCCCCCCACTTACACATTTTGGTTGTTTTCCACAAGTAGTGGAAAATTTATGAGAATGATGTCAAGGTAGAAAACTGTAATATGTTCTTTTGTTATATACCAGGGGGATTTGATCCAGTCAAAATTCCCTAAGGAAATTATAATTTCAGGTGATGGATGCATGGGGATTAAGCAGGCAAAGGAGAGGGGAAGATAGTGGAGAAGCAAGAACAATCCAGCAAAGGGAAGACAATGGCCAGAATACTTGACGTAGAGAAGAGTAGGAAAGAGTTGAGGAACAGAAGATGAAAGAT